TGTCCACAATGTGGACACACAGATGGGGGTGGGTGCACATGGGCACTAAGACGAGAGGGGGTAGGTGCCTCTTGGGGACCAAATCTGTGATCAGGTAGTGGTGTGGCCAGAACCGCTTCTGTTCTCTCGTGGTGTGCAGGGTCCAGACACCAGTGCCCTAATACCACATCTGCCCGGGGCCCCTTCCTCTTCAGGAGCCCTTCCCATCCTCCACAGGCTTCCTCTTTCCCTTTACATCCTCCCTGGGCCTTGGGGGAGTTGACAGCCATTTATTGTCCCTGTTTCCAGCCCAGGCGCTACTACTGCAGACCAGCCCAGGCCAGAGCCCTCAGCTGTCCCTTTTGCTTGGTCCTCAAATGTGCAGCATCCCCCTCACCCCCACTCAAATGTGACTGGCTCTGTGTGTTGTCTGGGCCTGGGATTTAGAACTCCTCCTGGGACTCAGAGCTCAGAGCAGCAGCCAGTAGTAAAAATACCCACAACCTGCAGGCCCCCACCTCTGCCTCCCGCAGCCTCTGTCTCAGGCAGCAGCACTTCCGCAACCCTGACAGGAAATGGGCTGCACTCTCTGCCTACCGCCATCTCAAGGCAACTTCTTGTTTCCCTGTTGCCCTGTGCCAGCCCTGAGGTTGTGTCCCTTGGCTGCATCCCCAAAGTCTTCCCAGGGCTCAGAGGGGACAGGATGGTGGATATGATTGCCAAACTGACCAGGAGGCAGAGTCGAGCCCTACGGGCACAGGTAGGGATGGTGGCCTTGGGGGGCAATCTCAGCCTCTATAGGCAGCAGAGGGCCTTCTGGGGTTGAGGGGCATGCTGTGAGCCTCTACTACTCACGGCTGTTAGGAGCTGGATGAGTGGGATTCAGGACAAGGAGTCTCAGGAACTCAAAAACTCTTCCTTTCTCGCCTCTTCCTTTCTCGCCTCTTTTCTTCTCTCTGAGGTTCTCAGCTTGGGGCAAGAGAGCCAGTGCTGCTACCTGCTTGTGGCCATGGGGAGGGAACTAGAGACAGGGGAGACAGGGGAGAACCAACAGAAGGAAGAGTGTGGGGCTGGACAGCTGATGTGGCAAGAGCCAGGGTCCTTCTTGGCTCTGGTCCTTGGTGCTGTCCTCAGACCCCTGTGGATGGGCTGTGGCTGTGTCTGGGCCTCCAGGAGTGGAGGCCAATAGGAGCCCTTGGAGGCCAACAGGAGGGCCTGGCCCCATCTGGTCCCCAGGAACCAGCCAGAACCAGCTAAGACCCTGCCAGGACAGGAAAGCAGCTCTATCTTAGCACCATTGGGGCTCTTGAAGAGTCTGTGGGGCCTCAAGGTGCTGCATACTTGCCCTCTCAGAGGTGTCACAGTCAACAGAGGCACTTTTGTGATTTTAACGAAGTTTTATTGTACAGAAGTTCTGAGGCTACAAAATGTTTAAAGAAAAAAAAAAAAAAAAAACAGAGATGGTATCAGTGGAAGACAGCCCCTCCCAGGGGCTGCAGCATCTGAAACAGGTGTGGCCCCTGCCTGCTTGTCCCCAGAGAGGGCCCCTGGGCCTGCAACTTGGGGGCAGCCTAGTGCTCCCAATGCTTCCTTCCAAGTGTTCTACCCTGCCCCCACAGTGTGATTCTGCATATTCTCTTCTTGGTGACAGCTCTGTCCCACTGGAGACCTATACTTTCCCCTCTGAAATCTAGTCTGTACCTGCTAGGGTATGGAAATCCCTGATCCAAAGTGGCTTCCATGCCCCTCTCCATGGATCCTTCCAGCCCTTGCCTGGCCCAGAGATAGGCAAGGCCACTGCCGCAGTGGCTCAGCAGGGTGGGCAGGAGTTGCCCTGGTTCACTCCCCTTCCTCTCCTGTGGCCTCCATCCTATCCTCCTTCTGGGTTTTATGGCTCAAACTGTCATTCTCAGGAAGCTCTTGCTCCAAGTTGTCTTCTATTGTGGGGTGTGTGTGTGTGTGTGTGTGTGTGTGTGTGTGTGTGTTTGGCATAGGATTGACTGGTGTATTAAAGCAGTAAGTGTTTCTGGCAGATCTGCTGTGTTGTTTGGGGGCATTGGCCTACCTGCTGGGGGCAAATGGAATCCCTGGCATTATCCTGCATCTTGCTCTGAGAAACTCCCGCCTTGAGGTGGGTGGAGGGAGCAGGCAGACCAGTAGGCAGCTAATTGATCACCAAGGTGGAATGCCAGTGGGCCCTGACAGAGCAAGGAGAAAAAGGCAGGCAGGTTAGACCTCTCCAGAGTCTTGTGAACTCAGGCCAGTGGAGGGGCGGGATCTGGGTGCTCAGGGAATGAGGGGAGGGAATCCAGGCTGAGAGAACACCCGGAGCAAAGCATGGAGGTAGGAAGGTGCCTTCCGTGTTGGAGGTGGGTGAAGGCCTGGTGTGGTTGGAATACAGGGTGCCACATGAGGCCTGTGGGAAGGGAGAAGGAAAGAGAAGTGGGGTGGAGGGTCCTATGTCAGCCACAAAGGAGCCTGGAGGGGTGAAGGGGAGGGGCAAGGAACTGGTAGACTGGTGTCTGAGGTCTCCCTAGCCCATGTGCCTCGGGACAGCCACCCTGTAGAAAACTGCAATGCGCCTTCTCTGACAGTGTCTCGCTCTCTTGTTTAGCGGGACTCATCACTGAGGTACTGTACATTTCACTGTCAACCCCCCACGACCATTTGCACACACTTGCATTGGAGGGTCAGCCCTGCCCCACGCACGGGGTTTTGTGGCCATTTGTTCACTGCTACATTCCTGGTGCCTAGAATAGCACCTGGCACCGAACACAGCAGGCAGATCTTTGTTGAACAAATGAATGTTTTTGAGGTGCCTGTCCATGGCCCAGAGAGAGCCCATTGTAAGAAGGACATGCTTGCCCTCTCAGAGGTGTCACAGTCAACAGAGACACTTTTGTGATTTTAACGAAGTTTTATTGTACAGAATTCTGAGGCTACACAATGTTTAAAGAAAAAAAAAATGAAAACCAGAGATGTGGCTCAGTGGAAGAACAGTCACTGACATGCGAGAGGCCCTGAGTTCAGTCCCAGCACCACTGAAAACACGAAACAAAATGAAAACAAATACAACCCCTCTGATCACCCTGCTCAGCTAAGACCATTGTTAACATTTTGGATGATTTCCAAATACAAAATTGGAATTATATTAGGCCTACTGTTTTGCCCTGGAGCATTATGTATCCTTAGAAAGCAGTATTCATCCCCACATGCTTTTTCACTGCTTGAGGTTTAATGATATAGTTATATACCCTTCTGGGAGGTGCTGAGGGTGCTGGCTGGGTGCGGTGGGCACACCAGAGGAATCTCAGAATAGATCTTGGACTTGGCACCTGAACAGAGTCCTGATGCAGGAGGAGGAGTCCACTGGGTGAGAAGGGTGGAGGTTGGGCTGCTGTGAATGAGCTACTGCCCGCAGGACACCTCGGGAGGGTGGGGAACTACTGGGTGCTACTAGAGCTCAAAGTTCAAGGCCAGGGGCAAGGAATGGCAGGAAATAAGGCTTAAGCACAGGCAGGGATAGGCAGCCTCTGGTGCCTGCACAGACTTTGCCCTGCAGCCAGCAGGGAGCCAGGAGGTGTGAGTCAGGTAAGCTTCTGTTCCTTAAGGGTGCTCATGCCTGGCCAGGCTTGTATTCGTGACAGACCCAACCTGCCCCCTCTTCCTTTGAAGGGAGACTGGGACTCACCTTTGTTTGTCCCCTTTCTAGCCCATCTGACTGTCATCTCCCTCTTTGCCACCCCAAACACCACATTAGAAAGTTCCAGGCCTAAATCCAGAGGCGGGGCAGCAGGCAATCCCAGCTCTTTCTGGTCTGGAGTGGGAGTGGTGGGCTCTTTGGGGGCTGTGGAATGCAACAAGTCCAAGAAAGGAAACCACAGAAGGGACAGGTCCTGGGCCATTTCTCTGTTCCTGCCCAACTTCTCACTGGCCTCTGGGAGTACAGTTGTGAGAACTGGGGTATCATTGTTTCATTATTGTTCATTTAAAAATTGGTGTAAATTGTCCTACCCATCTGTGGCACTAAACTACTTCACAAAGCACTTTCTAGAACATTTCCTTATTCTATGTTGGCACTACAATTTCTGGAATGGGCAGAGCAGACATTTGACACCCAGAAAAACTGAGGCAGGGGTTAGGAGGACCCATGGAGAGGGGCATGAAAGCCACTTTGGATCAGGGATTTCCACACCCTAGAAGGTATAGACTAGATTTCAGAGGGGAAAGATTAGGTCTCCAGTGGGACAGAGCTGTCACCAAGAAGAGAATATGCAGAATCACACTGTGGGGGCAGGGTAGAACACTTGGAAGGAAGCATTAGGAGGACTAGGCTGCCCCCAAGTTACAGGCCCAGGGGCCCTCTCTGGGGACCAGCAGGCAGGGGCCACACCTGTTTCAGATGCTGCAGCCCCTGGGAAGGGACAGATCTGCAGCACTTTGAGGCCCCACAGACTCTTCAAGAGCCCCTATGGTGCTAAGATAGAGCGGCTTTCCTGTCCTGGCAGGGTCTTGGCTGGTTCTGGCTGGTTCCTGGGGACCAGATGGGGCCAGGCCCTCCTGTTGGCCTCCAAGGGCTTATAGCAGGGCCTGCCACACTGGGCCCCCACTCCTGGAGGCCCAGACACAGCCACAGCCCATCCACAGGAGTCTGAGGACAGCACCAAGGGCTCTTGGGTTGTATCCTAGAGATATAGAGGACACCAAGTGGGAAAAAGGAAGTCACCTCCCCACCTCAGGCCAGAGAACACAGCCAAGAGGGACCCTGGCTCTTGCCACATCAGCTGCCCAGCCCCACACTCTTCCTTCTGTTGGTTCTCCCCTGTCTCCAGTTCCCTCCCCATGGCCACTAGCAGGTAGCAGCACTGGCTCTCTTGCCCCAAGCTGAGGACCTCAGTATCTCTCTGCCATCCAAGAGAGAATGGAACTTGCTGAAGGTCGCCCTGGGGGCAAGTGGCCAAGTGAGCACTATGTGATCTTGGAGCTTCCCTGAAAGTCACCTTTCCTCCTTCTTGGCACAGGCGGACGACCCCCAGGAGCCGGTGTACGCGAACGTAGAGCGGCAACCTCGCGCCACCTCGCCGCGCGCTGTCGCAGCCCCCGGCCCCAGCCCGGTGTGGGAGACGCACACGGACGCGGGCACCGGACGCCTCTACTACTACAACCCCGACACGGGCGTGACCACTTGGGAGTCGCCCTTCGAGGCTGCGGAGGGCCCCGCCAGCCCGGCCACCTCTCCGGCTTCAGTGGGCAGCCCCGAGAGCCTCGAGGGCGAGTGGGGCCAGTACTGGGACGAGGAGAGCCGCAGGGTGTTCTTCTACAACGCGCTGACTGGCGAGACCGCCTGGGAGGACGACCCCGAAGACCAGCTGGAGATGCAGCCCGGCCTGAGCCCCGGCAGCCCAATGGACCAGAGAGTGAGGGGCGGGGCCCGGTGGGCGGGGCCGCCTCCCGGTCTCTGACCCCGCCTCCTTCTGGGGCCGGTCTGCTATGGGGGGCGGGGGCAGGACTGGCACTGAGACCCCTGACTCCGTCTTCTGCTCCCACAGCCCCCCACCCCTGAGACGGACTACCCCGAATTGCTGACTAGTTACCCTGAAGAGGACTATTCCCCCGTGGGTTCCTTCAGTGAGCCCAGCCCCACCTGTCCTTTGGCCGCACCCCCAGGCTGGTCCTGTCACATCAGCCCGGACAAGCAGATGATCTACACCAACCACTTCACCCAAGAGCAGGTAGGGGCTGCAGAGGGATGGACCCAGACAGCCATAGGATGGCTCCCAGCAGCTTTTCTAAGAGCTCCCACGCAGACCCCAAGACAGTCCCAGGCACCGGGTGGCTTGCACCTGGCCCTGGGACTGTCTTGGACTCTGTTGGAGGGAATTTCTTCCCCCTCCCTCTTGAGCTGGGCTCAGGGCCCTGACCATCCCTGTCCCCTCAGTGGATGAAGCTGGAGGACCAGCAGGGGAAGCCATACTTCTACAACCCAGAGGACTCCTCTGTTCGGTGGGAGCTGCCCCAGGTAACCAACTGGTGAATGGAGTGCACTGGGGAGAGTGGAGGGGATTATATACGACAGCCTGTCTCTCTCCCCCAGGTCCCCATCCCTGCCCCTCGAAGCATCTGCAAATCCAGCCAAGACAGTGACACCCCAGCCCAGCCCAGCCTTCCAGAGGAAAAAGTAAGGGAAGGGACATGTAGGCCCTGGCAGGACCACCGAAAAAGAGATGAGGGCTGGTTTCTGGAGGTCCTGGGGCAGGGACAGAGTGGGTATACTTGTCTTCTCCATAGGCCCAGCACCGGGCCCAGCTGGGGGAGCTGCCAGCTGAGGAGGAGACTAGCCTCCTGTCATGGCTCACCCTTTCTTTCCCCTTCTCTGTCTTAGATCAAGACTCTGGACAAAGCAGGAGTACTCTATCGCACCAAAACAGTGGACAAGGGGAAGCGGCTCCGGTGAGAGCCCAGAGCTCATCTGCACCCAGACCAGGGCAGGATGGGCTTTAATGGTGAAGCTCCCTGAGCACTTCCCCGATGCCAGGCTCTTCCTAGTCCTCATAGCAACTTCATGTGCAGTACTGGGGGGAACCCAGGCACTGGGAGATAAAGTGACTGATCCAAGGTCCTTTGGTTTCCAGCTGTTAGAGGCAGGAGTCCAGCCCTCCCAAGTAGGGGCCCCAGGCTCTGTTCTTAAGCTCTAAGTCCTCCTCTTGGAGGTGGGAGGGGGCCTCAGCTCAGGAGCAAATTGAAGCCCTGCCCTCCCCGCTTCCCCACCCCACCCAGGAAGAAGCACTGGAGTGCCTCCTGGACAGTGCTGGAGGGTGGCGTCCTCACCTTCTTCAAGGACTCAAAGACCTCAGCTGCTGGCGGCCTGGTGAGACCTGGGCCCCCGATAGGAGCTGTCCCATCTGCTCTTTGTCTATCTGGTTTGGGAAAGGCCAGGTCTGAGAGAGTGGTGCCCAGGTGTCAGATGAGGTGTGCGTTGGCAGGGAAGGGAACCTGGCTGCAGATTGACCCCAGGATAAGCAGTTCCAGCCACCTTGGAGATGGGAGCAGTCCTTAAGGGTGGACAGCTCCAGCCAGAGGGCAGCCTCCCACACCTGCTCACAGGGGCTCCTGTGCCCCTTTCTCCTTTCCCCTTTCTTCCCTGGGTGGGCAGGGAGTACACAAGCCAGGCTGCAGGCTCCAGGGCACAAAACACCAGGATCATGGGTCCCAGAAACCCCCAGGCCCTTTCCTCAGAACTGTTGCTTGGCCACACTAGTGACCAGAGCCTGTCCCTAAAGGAAGAGCACATGGGGGTCTGAGCCCAGGCTGTAGCACACCTATCTGAGCTGAGGGCTCCCCCTAACCTTGCTCCCACCCTTTCTCCTACAGAGGCAGCCTTACAAGCTCTCCACTCCTGAGTACACGGTGGAGCTGAAGGGGGCCACGCTCTCCTGGGCCCCCAAAGACAAATCCAGCAAGAAGAATGTGCTGGAGGTGAGTGATGGGGTGAGGAGGAAGAAAGACAGGGCTTACTGATAGCCTGGGAGCCTCACTGCAGATAGGCTCCAGGAAGGAAGAAGGGAGACACGGGGAGAATTGGGGCTGGAATTCTCAGGGCTCAAGGTCAAAGCTGCCCCCACTTCAGAGATCTGTCCATGTTTGGGGCATCACATGTTATTTATTTATTTTTTGGTGGTGGTGCTGGGGACTGAAGCCAGAGCCTCATGCTTGTCAGGCAAGAGCTCTACCGCTGAGCCACACCCCCAGCCCTGGCATGGTGATTCTGTAGCTCCCTCTCCAACTGAGTCAGTAGTCGTTGCCTCAGAGGGTGGTGAGAACCAGGATGGCCACAGCCCTCCTAACTACTCCAGGTTGACAGACAGGAAACTGACAGGCTAGGCCAGGAAACCTGTTCTCACCAGCCAGATCCTTGCTTCCGGTCTGACTGGGTCCCCAGTGAATAACCCAGGGCAGTGGGGAGGCTTGTCAGGCTCCCCCTGCAGGAATAGCAAGGAGATCAGGGAGATCTTCCCGTGTCTGGGCCTTTGCTGTTCCCCTGTTGTCTTATTTTGATATTAGTCATGCTCCCACCTCACTCCCTGAAAGTTGTGAGGCAGATCACAACAAAACCCAGGAGGTAAGCGGCAAAATCCACCGAAAAGCCAGGACCAGGCAAAACACGTTCGAGATGGCGTCAAGACGGAGAGGAACTGGGGGCAGATAATGAAGAGGTGCTAAGGTGGTTGCTGGGACTCAAACATGCTAGGCAGCACTCCACCACTGAGCCACATCCCCAGCGCCCCCCCAACATTTTTTTCATTTTAAAAAGCAGATTAAATAATATGCCAAGAGAGTCCTGTCTGATCCGAGAAGTTGTTCCCTGCCACCTGAGACAGGTTCTGCTGTGTCGGCTGCTCACAGGCCCTAAAGGGCAGGGTTGGTGTGCACTGCCACAGCCAGACATTCTAATTAACCTGCAGCGCCTGGTCCTCAGAACTGGAGGCCAGTGAGCAATCCTTCCAAGTTGTCATCTGAGTCAGAAAGGCTGCGAGCCGCCAGTCCTGCGGCAGAAAGTTGCCCTCTGGTGTTTTAATTTATGCTTCTTGATGAAGAGGGCTGTGAATGGATGTGTTACCCCAGCTGGAGTGTGGGACAGGGGTGGGAATTTCTGGCCACACAGCTGGGGCAACACTTTGAGGGCCTCCGTATGAGGAGGAGGCCGTGTTCTCCAGGCTCAGCCGTGGTCTGCTTTCACTTCCTCTCTCTCCACACTGTCTCTGTTACTGGAGTCCAGCTGCCAGGGTCTCCCACAGGAGTTTCTTTCACTTGCTTTTTTGCTGGCCAGTGCTCTGGGTGAGGCCTGCCATGTCCTGTGGCTCATGGGGAGACAGGCTGGGGTATGAGGAAGTGCACCAGACAACTGAGCCCTGTAGAACTGGACTCCACCACTCATTAGCTGTGTGCCCATGAGGAAGTTGCTAAACCTCGCTGAGCCTCGATTTGCTCATCTGTAACAGAGGTGCTGTCACTCACAGCTTTCAATGAGAAGGAAGACTTGGGCTTGGGGTGAGTGAGGCCTTTGGGCCATGAGGCTCTGAGTCCCTGAGGCCAGGAACAGTTTATCTCCCTCTCCGTACCCCCACCTCCCCACCCCAGGGAACCAGAGATGATGGAGTAATTTGTGTCCCCCCATACAGCTGCAGAGCCGTGATGGCTCCGAGTACCTGATCCAGCATGACTCAGAGGCCATCATCAGCACCTGGCAAAAAGCCATTGCCCAGGGCATCCAGGAGCTGGTAGGGACAGCCTGGGGTCTCCAGGGCTGGTGGGGAGTGGGTGTTGGCATTATGCAGGGCAGCTGTGCCCTCTGTGAGTGGGACCTTCTGCTCACACACAGGGAGCTTCATGGCACTAGTGAGCGAGTGCCCTTCTCTGCAAATGCAGTCCCCGCTTACAGCCAGGATGGCAGGTGGGCTGCTGGAGAAAGGGCCTTCCCTGAGCCCATGAACCGGGCCCTAGGGTTGTCCTCACAGGAGGACTCTGCAGGAAGGGTCGGAACATCCAGAGGAGTTTTCCTACTTCAAAGGAAGCAGAAGGAGAAGTAGATGCTTTGAGAATTAGCCTCAGGCCAGAACAACAGACTAAAATTAGAAGATAAGACTTAAAAGGATTGATTCAAGAGTCTACCATATTTTTTAGGTTCCAAGTATCAATTACATACATAGAGATGGGGACCGCCTGTCTGACAACCTTCACCTGGCAATGACCTGAGGCTTTTTGACTCTTCATTCCCTACAAGCCAACATTTTGTGCAGGTTTTGGCTGGACTAATAAAAGTAGGAATCAGAGGCAGGGAGTTATTGACAGTGCTCCAGCCCCAGCTGAAATTGCAAGTTCATGACTAGGAGCCATTCTAGGGAAGTGTATCTAGAGGTGCTGAGGACAACGTGGGAAGAGGGGCCTGAAGCTGGGAGGTGGGTATAAGGGTGGCCAGGATAAGAAAAGGTGAGAGAGAACAATATGATTCTCCAACTCCTTAAGGGCTCTCTGCGGTCAAGTAAAGTCAAGTGTCAATTCTGAGATTCCCTGGAGGAGGTGAGGAAAGTTAACCTCATTAGGGAAGAGAGAACTCTGGCGGTCTGTCTCCAGGGCAGACCTGAGGGCTGGCTTTCCCATCCTGGAGAGAACCTCAGCTGGCCCCAGGCCCTGCCTCTCTGAGGCTGTGTAATTCCAGTCTGCAGACCTGCCCGCTGAGGAGGAAAGTGAGACCGGCAGCGCAGATTTCGGGTCCAGTGAGCGCCTGGGAAGCTGGCGGGAGAGAGAGGATGACACTCGGTCCAGTGCAGGTGTGTGGAGGCCTGTTGGGGAGTATCCACGAAGTGTCACCCTGGCTGGGGCCACTTGGGTCAACCCTGACAACACGGATTGACGGGGTTCTGTGTTTCCCTGCAGCGGCCGGACCTGTCCTGAGCCCTGGAGGCCAGGAGAGCGACTTGAGCAAGGTCCGGCACAAGCTGCGCAGGTTCCTACAGCGGCGGCCCACGCTACAATCGCTGCGGGAGAAGGGCTACATCAGAGGTATGGCGGCACGACCGGGTGGGCTGCGGGGCACCTGCGGGGCGACGCTGACAAGCCTCTCCCCCAGATCAGGTGTTCGGCTGCGCGCTGGCGGTGCTGTGTGAGCGCGAGAAGAGCTCGGTGCCGCGCTTCGTGCAGCAGTGTATCCGGACCGTCGAGGCCCGGGGTAGGAACCGTTGCAGGCTGGGTCAGACCCTCGGATGCCTGATGGCCTCCTTCCAAGACAAAGGATGGAGATCCCTGGGTGGGAGCAGGGTAGGGGGGAAAGGATGGAAGGCCCTGAGTAGGAAACACCAGCGGCTCTAGCCCCACCTGGGGTCAGCGCCTCCCTCTCACCCAGGGCTGGACATCGACGGGCTGTACCGCATCAGCGGAAACCTGGCCACCATCCAGAAGCTGCGCTATAGGGTGGACCACGGTGAGGCTTATCCCCAGTTCTTGCCCCAGGGTCTCAAGGTGCAAAGGGGTGTTAGCCTCCCCTTCATCCTCTGTCTCCTCCTGCGCCTTAGATGAGCGTCTGGACCTGGACGATGGGCGCTGGGAGGACGTTCATGTCATCACTGGCGCTCTGAAGCTCTTCTTCCGGGAGCTGCCGGAGCCCCTATTCCCCTTCTCGCATTTCAGCCAGTTCATCGCAGCCATCAGTGAGAATTGGGGGCAGCGGAAGGGGAGGGCAGGGGAACTGATCAACCTCTGAGACCTAGCTGGCTGTGCCCATTGCCGTCGCAGCCCAGCCAACCCTCCCATCCTCTGACCCTCCCTTGCGCAGAGCTGCAGGACCAGGCACAGCGCAGCCGCTGTGTGCGTGACCTGGTGCGCTCACTGCCAACCCCCAACCATGACACACTGCGGCTACTCTTCCAGCACCTGTGCAGGTGAGCCAAGTGAGCGGGGGCAGGTCCTGGCCAGGGCCACCATTGCCTGCCCAGGTCTAGGCCCTGACCCCACCCCATCTCTCCTCAGGGTGATCCAGCACGGGGAGCAGAACCGCATGTCGGTGCAGAGCGTGGCCATAGTGTTCGGGCCTACGCTGCTGCGGCCCGAGACAGAGGAGAACAGCATGACCATGACCATGGTGTTCCAGAACCAGGTGGTGGAGCTCATCCTGCAGCAGTGCTCAGATATCTTCCCGCCCCACTGACCGCGGCGGACCTGGGACTAGGGGCAAATGACTTGTGGTCCTAGGAGACTGGAATTGCTCTCCGAGGTCCTTGGCCTTCTTTGGGTCTGCAGGCACTGTGACGTCTATACCCCTCGTTTCTGAGGGTATAGTGACCCCTGGTGGGCAGTTCGTGAAATGTCATTTTTTTCTCCCCCGCCCTGGCGGGTCGTGTTTAGGGTTAATTAGGTTCTGTTCTTTATTACAGCGCCACCTACTGGGCAGGTGGGAGAATGTAGGGGTGAGAGTTTTGTTTTCTGGGACTCCCACGGGGAGGAGGAATTTGGAGAGGGCCTTCCTGGCTTCTTCAGGCCTTCACCTGGTCAAAGCCTTCACGGAGACTCTGGTGGCGCCCCTGTCCAGGCCCTGTGCCCATCAAGCAGCTACTGACAGCTTCCTTCCAGCCGCATAGCTGAACCTGTCTCCCCCAGGCCTCAAGGATGAGCTCTTGGGCCTCTTGCAGAGGTCAGGGTGGTCAGCTAGGTGAGGTCAGGGTTCCTGTTTGGGATTGGGCACCCATGCCCTCCCTGATCCACTGTGTCCTGTGCAAGTTCTTCATGCCCACTGGATGTGGACCCTGCACCTGCACTTGATGTGCACCTTTCCACACTCAGTCCCATTTTACAGATGAGGAAACTGAGACTTACAGAGACAGAGTGACTTGTTCAGGGTCAGGTGGGTGATCTGACTCCCCAACAGAGGTTCCTCCCATACCACTCCAGAGAGGGCTGTTGATCCTTTGAGCCACCTACGCCCCGCCGCAGCATGGGACCATGGGCAAAGCAAAGAAACTCAGCTGGGTCTGTCCTGTCTGTGCCTGGGCTGGGGAGTTTCCTGAACTCACGGAGGGAAACTGCTCCAGCTGTTCTTCTCGGGGGAAAAGGAAAGGTCAGGTGTGCCTGCCTGGTGCCCACCGTGCCATGGAGACCTGGGAAAGGCCTGCAAGGGATGGAGGACAACCTCAGGAAAGGAGAGGTGAACCTTGGAGTCAGCAGACCCCTTCCCTCTTCGTGCACAAACCACCTTGGTTTCTGGATCTCGATCCCCAGCCCCACCCATCCACTCATTGACTTGACCAACAATAATCAGTAATATTTATTAAGCTTTCGCCAAGCATTTTATTTGGATCATCCCTGCTTGTTTCTCTCAGTCAATATTTATTATTTGTTCTTGTGTGCCCGGCACTGTGCTCTGGGGCAAGGATGCTGACTCCTGTCCTGGTGGAGCTTAGGGTTCACTGGGTGAGGTGGACCCATGCCAGTGGGGGCAGGTTAGGAGTTCAAATGGAGGCCTCGTACCCCATGTCTAAATATTTAAAAGTGACCCATCAAGCTAACAACTGTTAAATAAAATATGTTCTATTCTCCTACTTTGGCAAATCTGCTCTGATGCGGACTTGGGAGGCCAGTTCTAATTTAACCTTCTGTGACTCTCACAAGATCCATACCCGAACATGGTGGCACAGGAAGAGTTGGTCCTGGCCTTCCACTTGCTGCCCCGTATCTTCCCACGCTCAGAGCCATCCTCCCGCAAGGAGAGGTTCACCTGCAGAAAGCTTGATGCTCCAGGCCATGAGCACAGATGGCCGGTACCCCCTACAATCATCTGTCACTTGGTCACTCCACTGGTGACCCAGGAGGAAGTGGGCCTGGGCCCCCGGGGCAGGGCATTCTGGGGTTCTGTATAGAGGGAGCCTGGTCCAAAGGAAGGCTCCGTCTCTCAGAGGGCCCCATAGATTCCTCATCCTGTGAGAAGAGCCTTAAGCAGAGAGGGTTCAGACTTCTAGAGCACAGATCTCCCCGCAGGGACTCCACCATCCAAGTCTAAGGCAGAAACGGGCAGGCGTTTGGCAACTGAGGACTTGTTCAAATATATTTTTAAAGGGTTAGGAAGAAGCCCAGGGGGCAGGGGTGGGGTATGACTGTTTCCTGTAGGAGATGCCTCTGCAGAAGCCACTTTGAGGCAAGCAGTAATAAGAAGGAATCAACCAGGCCAGGAATTAAGGGAAGTGGGACTAGTCTGAGAGAACAGCATGTGCAAAGGCTCAGAGGCAGGAAGGTTTGTGGAGAGAATAAAATCTGATAGACCACTGTGAGTGGGCCCAGAAAGCCAGTGGGTATGAGTGTGAGTGACACTGGAAAGGCTGGCAAGGGACAAGGTCTGCAGGGCTCCATGGACCTTCCTGATGTTGGCAAGGACGTTGGGTCACCAAGACAAGGAGCTGGAGGATTCTTGATCAGAGAGATCTTAGGGAGTGTCACCTCCTCACCCCACCCCAGGCTCTGACTGCAGCAGGTTCTCTGGGACTAATGATGCAGCAGCAGGCAGAGACCCCCGAGAACCCTCCCATCGTCATCAGGAGGAGAGGCACCCTGAGGAGGTGACATGTATCTCAGCTGAGGCCATGGCAGGTTGGTGTCAGAGCCTGGCCCAGAGCTCCATTTGCATAGTCTGAGGACCTACTGTGCATATCACCAAAAGTTTAAGGCTCAGCCACATGTCCCAGGACTGAGCCTGGTGCATGGTGAACCTTGCAGGAGCCACTGAGTATATTTTGAAGGAACTGGACTTTGTCCAAACACACAGTAATGCATAGAAACAGAACCTGCCCTCTCTCAGCTCTATCTGGTTGGGGAGAGTCATAAGAAGGAGTGATAGGGCTGGTGTGGTAGCGCACGCCTGTAATCCCAGCAACTCGGGAGGCTGAGGCAGGAGGATTGTGAGTTCAAAGCCAGCCTCAGCAAAAGTGAGGCGCTAAGGAATTCAGTGAGACCCTGTCTCTAAATAAAATTAAAATAGGGCTGGGGACGTGGCTCAGTGGTTGAGTGCCCCTGAGTTCAATCTCTGGTACCCCTCCAAAAAAAATGGTTCCTCCACAACCTCACTGATGCCCTAAGTCCTCCTTGGCCTGGCCTCTGCCCCTAAACTATTCTAGAAAGGGCCACGGAGCCCCCAGGCTTGTTCGCTCTGGTGGACACATCCGTGCAAGTGGACACGTGAGCTGCCTGTGTCCTCCCTGAGGCACATGTTCCTTGATCTGCAGCAACATGGGTCCTCTCCATCCCTCCACCCCTCCCTTCCTTAGCTCCTCATCTGCCCAGAGGAATGTGAACAAGTGCCTCATGTTTCAGCTCTCTGAGGGACCTAGCTAGGCCTGGAACTGCAGGGTCCCAGGTGACTCCAACCTTTGGAGGATTCTCAGACTTTTCTCTAGTAGCTGCACCATTTCACATCCCAGCAGCCGTGTGGGAGGGTTTCTGTTCTCTACTTTCTGCAACAACCATTCAGGTTTTCATGCTCCTCTGACTCCGGGACTCCTCCCTCCCTCCCTCCCTCTCTCTTGGCAATGGCGGCCTCTACCTCCCCAAAGCGGTGGGTACATTTCATGTTCTACCAGAAAGCTCAGCCCTTCCTCACCACAGCCTGCCTTTCCTCCTTTCCCCCCATACCTCAGAGCACTCATCTCTCCAGGGTACAGTGGATTTCCTTTTTTTTCCAGGAAACATCCACTGTCATTGGACATGTTTCTCTTTTACATGTTGAATAGCTATCTGGGGCCGAACTCCCCCAGGAAACGGAAACAAGAAGGAGGCAGACTGGATGCACTCAGGGCCAGCACCCGTGCAGATGAAGACAGGTCCACTGGGCCTCAGGCCCATCACAGACCTCAAGCAAAGGGTCAGGCTTTCAAACCACCATATTGGATGCCAACCGTCTCACTGAGTGGTGTGGATTTGGGCAAAGCAGTTCTCTTTTCAGCCCAGGGGTCATCCTGGAGAGAGGCTCAGATGGGAACTGTCAGCAGCCAATCTTCCCAGCAACTGGAGAAATTCATGCTTCAGTCCGAGAGAAGGGACTCACTGTGGGCCCACAGCATCCTCCATGACCCCCAAATGACTCTTCCTGCACCGTGGCCCTCCCTCCCTCCCTCCCTCACCCCACATCTCTCTGCATCTTCCACCATTCTTTCCCCTCTTCACAGCCAAACTTCTCAAAAGATGTCCACGTTCCTTGTCCTCGTCCACTGCCCTTGCTTACTCCTCAACCCCCACACACTTCAGACCACAGAAGTCCCCCAGTCTCAACAATGATTCCACATTGAAAGCAGCTGGACATTTTGGGGTCTCCAAACTCACTGTCCTCCTGGGGTACACCAGCCTCTGTGGGCCACTCCCCCCTAGAAATAGCCTCTTCCTCTTGGCCCAATCCCCTGCCTCCTCATTTTCCTCCCACCTCTGGCCAAGCATCTCTCTGCTGCTCAGCCATGAAAGGTGGAATTCTCCAGGCCAGCCCTCCTCTGCCATCCTCCTTTCCCGAGTGACACTGCCAACAGCCATGGTATCATCAGTGACTACTCCCCTGCACCAGGCCTGCCTGCTCCTTGAAGCTCTCAACCCCTAAGTCCCCCTGACATCTGCTCTGGGACACTTCTCAGTCCAAGACTGGATTCATGATTTTTCCCAAACTGGGGACTTCCTTACACTTTCACCTGTCCCAGGAAGTACCTCTGTTAACCCCCAGCTGGACCAGCTGACACCTGGGAACGAGACCTCCACCCTCCCCAGCTGTGAATCCTGGTCAGTTCCTCCCCTCTGGTCCACTCCTCTTCATCACAGGGCCCCACCCTGGTCTAAGGGGCTGACATCTCCTGCCTGGATCAAGCTGTCTCTCCACCCCCCCAACCTCAGCGTCCCCGCTACATGCAGCCTTGTTTAAACACACCTGATTTCCACTCCACTTAAAACCCTTTCCCCTCATCTTGGGATACCACCACAAACTTTCGCATGGGCTCCACATGCACCTGCTCAAGGATTGGGGGCAACTGATTCACTCCTCTGCACCCCAGTTCCTCCATCCAGGTGATGGGAATGCAGTAGCAGTACCACTCTCCAGGGCAGTCACGGAGATGGCATGAGGTGATATTTGCATGGTGCCGAGAGCGACACACAGTAAATACTTGCTGGACCTCATGTCTTACTTGTTCTCCTGGTTTCTGCACTGCAGCTAGGATGGCTAGCCCTAACCCTAACCCCAACCCTAACCCTAACCCTAGCCCTAACCCTAGCCCTAACCCATCAGTTTCCTAAATATTTTATGCTCCCTCCTGCTCCTGTTGCATGTGCTGTACTTTCTTTGCAGTTCACTGTTCTCTTGGCTTAGTCACCCTTTGGCATTGTGCCAGGTGACCAGTCCCCAGGGTCACCTGAGTGTCCAGTGAGGTCAATTCCTCAGTTATACACCTTCAGAGACCCAACTACCTCTTATCTATCTCTCTCTCTCTCTCTCTCTCTCTTTTTCTCTCTCTCTCTCTCTTTTTCTTTTTGTGGGGAGGTAAGGGATTGAACTCAGGGATATTTGACCACTGAGCCACATCCCCAGCCCTATTTTGTATTTTATTGAGATTTTATTTGTATTTTATTTAGCCCCATTTATTTTATTTTTACTTAGGGTCTCACTGAGTTCCTTAGTGCCTTGCTTTTGCTAAGCTTGGCCTTGAACCCATGATCCTCCTGCCTCAGCTTCCCAAGCCAATAGGATCACAGGTGTGCACCACCACACCTGGCTCCTTTCTTCTCTTGATTTGTCATTTTACATTCATATGTCGTGATTATTCATTGCTGTCTCCATGATACCAGGAGCCCATGACACCAAGCCCCAGGGGAGGGGATTCTGTTGTTGCTCACCATCTTATGCCCAGCACCAAGCACTCTGCCTGGCACACAACAGATATTCAGTAAATACCTGTTGGGCTGGGGTTATAGCTCAGCAACAGAGCACTTGCCTTGCATGTGTAAAGCACTGGGTTTAATCCTCAGCATCACATAAAAATAAATAAAATAAAAGTATTATATCCATCTACAATTATAAATAAATAAATATTTGTTGAATAATTAATACAAGAAAGGCAGACAGAGTTCAAATCCCTGCCTGCCATTTCCTTTTGAGAAATCTGGGGTGAATGGTTCACTTCATGATCATCTGTAAAATTAGGACATTCACACCTACCTCAGAAACTTCCTATGATTAGAAAATGAGACTTGTGTAGCTGGCATGGCCCGACCTGATGCAGGAACATTTGCAAAGCCCCGCTAGGAGCCAGACACAGGAGTGTGATGGACGAGACCCCAGAGGTAGCTGCGTTGCCTGGTGGGCAGGACTGTCCATTAGACTGGCGGACCCTTTGTTCAGGGAGCTCTGGAACAGCTTCTTCCCAAAATTCCAGCACTGACAGGGAAGGGAACTTTGTCCCTCTTGGGGCTAGAACACCAAGAGTGGCCCTGTTTCCCCATCAGGCTAGAACAGGAGGAATCCCACTGGATTAACAATGGGAGCCCTGCTGGGGCTGGGACCTCCAAGACTGAATACTCT